TGAAAAATATAAACTAGCTTTGGATACTAATAATGATATGGAAGTCCATTATCTAAAGTTCGCATAATTTTTTACATTTTCTTACACGTTTTCATTACAAACTCCACAGTTCTTATATTCATCAAACGTTCTCAAACATTCATTACCGTACTTGCAATTTCCTCATGTCGTATTAACCTCCAGTAGCCATTAGTATTCCCGGATCTCGGTCATCTCACTACGCATGTAATGAGAATTCTGGTTAAACGATTTGTTCAGGTATCTACATGCATGGGACTATGGGAGCCAGGGGACTTCCTGGCATTTATAATATTGGAGACACCGACCATTTAGATGAAATTAAATGCATGAAATATTAATGATGTAATATTTATCAGTAGGCCTGAGGGAATAGCCTCCCCAAGTAATGACATTGCATCTGATTATATTTTTTACTTGAAGGCCTGTGTATGTTGCGTGTATTCGGGCTAAGCTGGTACTTTCACATCCGTACACCACTATTGATTAATTTTACAAGTCATAAAGTGTTTATACTTCTTGTGATAATTATCGCCGTCAGAATGAAAGGCGACGCTTAACCTAGCATCTCGCTTTGCACACATTCTTGGCTAAACTATTCAGATACAATCAGCATGCTAAATTATTAATTGCCATTTAAACGATAGGAACATAATTATGGCCTCTGATTAGATTGTTGGCTTTGTAGTTTCTATGTTATTGTCACATTACCATTGACATACCGAGCAATTATAATCATTGCTTTGTTATATAGCAAAATGGAATATAGTAGTTTGTATGGAATGAATTAATCGGTGCATTTGCTTTGATCTCTTTACTTTCAAACGTCAAACGTAATACAGAAATATATTTTATATTCTTGTATTGATATTTCATTATAACTTAGACTAATACAATTCCTACTTGGATCAAAACAAAATTAAAGAATTAATTATACATGTATACTTTTTTTTATAGGAACAGTTAAGCAACTGCTAGCATCAAATACACATTTCATACGGAATAGAGGTATGGGGGAAGCACTTATAAGACTAGCCTAAGTATATTATTGTCACAGAAAATGGTAGTTCGTGCTATAAAATTTAGTGAATGGCCAACTCCCACAGCTCCATTATACAGATTGCAAATCCTAAATGTGTATAATTTCCATGATTTATCAATTTATACTTTCATGTTTGATCTAGTCAATGACTAATATTGCCTCATATTTTGCTACAGCACTGTGATATTATAGGGCATAGCTATTCCACAAGACAAAACAAAAGTTGGACAATAAAATTACCTTTTCCAAAATTTATAACAACATAAGGTCAATTTTCATTGTCTTTATTTGTGGGCAGTGAATTTCGGAACAGAATTACCTATCAATGTCAAATTAACAAGGTAATAAATAGGTTTCGGAAATCTGTTACGAGTCATTTGTTGAACAAATTATGAATGAAATATTAAGTTAAATAATCTGCATGGGTATACAAATTGTATTTTACATTATCAGTTTGTACTTTGTAAAGACATTGTTAAGTATTCTTATATTTTAAAGCAAATTTATTATTTTTGTTTTGTTACGTTTTCAAAACTGATTTGTACCAAAATACTTTTTTTTAAAAGAGGTTATGCTCGACTAGCACATGTGCTATTATCTGGCCCCTTTTATACCAACCAATAGTTTTTCTTCTTAAACACATTGTATGAAATGTATTACTGTATTGCTGTTGATTAATAAATCAAATCAAATCAAACTCATGTTTGCCAGTTTGATACACATCGCTTGCTGTCCACACCGCACATTAACTTTCTTTAACTAAGTTTTAGCAAAACATTTTTCAAATGTCAAATTTTGACACGAGTTTTTTTTTATTAATCTTAATTCGGAGTTTGGCTCTCCGATTTCTCAGACATACCCTTTTTTCATTCGACGTGTGTATTCAGCTATGTTACTTGAATTGAAGCTTTGTCAAGTACAACTACAATTGATCATCGTTGATGCACTATGATGTTTCAGGGACGTTATAATTTGGTGGAAGTGCTATCGATTTTATCACATGTCGTGAGCCTTGGACATGGAAACGTATTTATCTCAGGAAAATAAACGTATTAGGCATTCTAGAGACGCCAGATTGTTTTATTATAGACCTATCGAGACAGTCCATTTGAATCAAATTTGAAGTTAACTGACAGGTGGAATGTTTTGCAACTGAAGGCCGATTTAAGTCAATCAATGTAGAAGGAGAGCTGGACGAATAAAAAGGTATCATGGTTGAAAATAGAAAGAAATTATGCGGATGACGAAGGAGGAGTAAATTAATTTTTTTTTTACTGGTGTTCAATATAGAAAAAACAGGAATTTTTAATAGTCAAACACTTACGATTGTATCGGGCAACCGTTTTGAAAAGATTACGATCACGACACAGCTCTTCAAAGTAGCTCACCTGTCTGCACACAGTGACGAAATTACAAATGACATTGGGGTAACACTCCCCCCCCCCCCCTCCGCCGAACGCCCCGCCCCCCAGTAAATGAGAGAAGTAGATTACCTGTGTGCAAACAGTGACAAAGTTACAAATGACACTGGGGTAGGCCCCCTCCCCCACTGCCGGACGCCCCCCCCCCCAAAAAAAAAGGGGGGGGGGAATGAGCGAAAGAAAGAGGGAGAAAGAATGAAGGGGGAAATCGATGTATGAAAAGATGATAATTATGACCCCTCCCACACACTCTCCCTGCTCAGTCGGTTTCCTTCTTTGAATTACACCCAACTAGTGAGACCCGTTAAACCGAACTGACGCTGCGATCCTGTCTGTATTACCTGTTAAAGAAAGGACCTTGATAGTCATCAAGCATCTAAAGGCTTGTCGAAGGACATGAACTTTAAAAAAGGCGGGCAGTGCTTACAAAAAGTACAATGCTTCAAAAGTTTAAATGTATCATATTACATTATCAACTGGCCTGGGGACATTTTTTGATATGTTATTTCCTTTTCTTTGAGCAGTATTGATTTCAAGGTATCGACCTTTTCAAGTTGGGGGAAAAAACACGTATATACCAAGCAACGGAAATCATCATAGATTTTTTATAACAAACTGACTTTTTCATTTCTTCTTTGCTTTTCATATGTCTTTTTAAACCCTTAGCTCTTAACTTACCATTTATCCCCGACTAGTCGGCTCTTAGATGCTCCAGGGAACCTTTCTTAATATCCATATTATTTGCCTTGTAAGCCGTCAATTCGAAGAAAATCATCATGGGAAAAGTCCTTCAGCTATCCCTCGATGCTTTTACGATAATCCTTAACTGATGAGAAGAAAGCAGCTGTCCTCACGATTTTTTGTAATTGCATATTATATGACCAACAAAGCAGTTTCAATTGCTATGATTATATCTCGACCACTGTCGACCTATAGCTCAGGTAAAAGGTATCCGGTAAAAGGAAAATCATTTTAAAGTCCTCTCAACATTAGACAGCTGCAGAGGCAACCATTTCCACAAATCGATGTGTATAATGTGACTATTATTCACACAATTACAGACCTTTGGTGAATGATGTACTTTGTGTGAATGCCTCGTCAATATTTGAATGCAATCTGCTTTGAATATGTTTTATGATAAACTAGTCGCATTCTTGATTTGCAGACTACAATATTTTCATTTTTTAATCACGAAGACTTTTTTCAAAGACAGACGTTCCATGTCCTTTCTTAGTAAGATGGAGACTTTTCTATGATGATGGTTACTATGGGTATAACGATGGTAAAAAAGATAAGAAAATCTAGTGTATCACAAAATCCATTATATGCGTCAAACTTTGATATAATCTGCACAATTTTGTCAAGATGAGGGTGGATGAGTATATCACACAGCATTGTTTATTTTTCAACTTTTTATTGATTTACGTCAATCTTCTTTTACCGTTCAAAACAAAACAAGAAGACGTTCCTTTTTGCCAATCATATTTAGTAGTAAACACATACATAAAATTGTTAAAGGGTAACCATTAGCCAACTCAGGTAAAAGTAATGACGGAAAGTGCATTTTGTTTTCCTTGCATTTAAAAAAAACGAAGGAATGATCGCAGAAGGGAATAGTTTTGCTTTCATACTTATTATGGTGAAACCTCATACTTTAAAAACAATCCGGGAAATGCTATGATATACATCCCGCAGGCTGAATTACTTTGTAGGTTTCCTGACAAAGAAAAGATGAGTATTCTCTTTCACCATATTTTCGTTGTCCCAATAAGATCACGGAACGCCTTCAGGAATAGTCCTGCCTAAAACTCGCTCTCCTCATTCAAGGTCATCATTACATAGATCATCACGTCGATTGAGAAGAGTCGTGCAAGAAATTAATTATCTACAGCCACAATCTGAAGTGCTTAGAGCCTCAAAGCAGTATATATTCAATGATCACAGAATAATGATTAAAGTATTCTAAAACAGGGAGAAACAGAGACATTGCAAATAATACCAACAGTGCAGCTGTTTAACAGCAACAGTCTCATTTGAATAACACAAGACGTTTTCGTCTGAAATCATTTATTCGAATAAGAGGACATTAAACATTTTCTAAATCGTTTGATGTTCATAAAATGCATTTGTATATCCAGCATAGAGTGTAATTTAATAAGGCAAAACCCTATAACACATCAAAAGAAAAAACAATGCAACTAAAAAATAAAGAAAGATATACATGAATATTATTATATTATTATTTGAAAATGGACCAAACATTTAATTTTTACCGAGGAGGGGGGGGGGGGGGGGTGCGCTGGGACCTCTGGTACGCGGTTGCAAACATTGTGCTATTGGTCTCATGCAGTTCTTTTCGCTACCCTGTTCATGTTGGTTTTCAATACGTGGACACGCCACGGAGAGTGGACAAATGCGATAAAAGATTGTTTTATAATTATTAGTTCGCATTCAGACAATTCAGCACCAGTTAAGATAGAGGAATTAAAATTACACGTATAATAAATATTCACAAGATATTTTGTAGCTGTTTAATTCATTCAAGAATGATAACTTTGACTAAGAGTTCATCAAATTAATTTTTGAAGAATAACACTGTCTGTCAGTTTGATTGCAGATTATATTCCTTTGTTCATGATCAAGCTAAGTACAGCTATGAATAGTGATGCATAATCTAAGAATGCTTCTAAAGAAATCCATTATTTCATCTGCTTAAATAGATTGCACTTTCTAATAAATTAGAGCTTCTATTATCCGCGTTAAAACAAGTTATCAAACAAATTATCAAAAATAAAATATTTACGGTAGTAAATCAATAAACAACATTTATAGAATTAAATTCTTTGTACATCAACTAGTATCTACATTGAAATGTCAAAGTTCAGTTTATAAATTAATTAACATAAAATAGCACTTACTGATTTACAAGATCCAATCTTTAATTTGTTATTACAGAGTTACACGGTAATGTACACACATATACACATTGCTTTACATCTGGTATACACAATATATGATTTAGTTCTACGCAAGAGAGTAAAATATTGCTTTCCTAGCTTAACCAAACACTATACAACATCCTAAATAATGTGTCTTTCGTCCATTCTTTTCCATTAATTTTCCGTTTGTAATTCAATAGACTAAACTGTATACCCCAAAACGAAATATTTCAGCTTTGGGGTGATCGTCATAATCACTGTGCCCTAGACCAAAAGCTTCAGCCTCTCTCCTTAGTTATCCTGAGCCATCTCTCCTTCTCTATATCTCCCCTTTCCCTTTGGACCTTTACCATCTCCCCCTATAATTCTGTCTTTTATCAGTCCTTCAAGCTCGAGTTCTCTTTCTCTCTCTGCTCGTATTTCGATTGTGATGCTGCTCCTATTCTAGTTTCATATTCACATTTATATTCATACCTGAATTTATTCATGATGTGATTCAGAATTCTATTTAAAATTCTTCCTATGTATAAGTCATAATATAATTGTCTTGTTATGTTGTGTGCTGAGAACCATACTTTCTCGGTCGGGTCGCATGTCGTTTTCATAGTGTCGACTCGGTAATAATAAGAATAATAATACTCAGTTTTTATATAGCGCTTATTAGAATCACTAAGCGCTTACAAACTTAACGATTTTTACCACGAGATAAAAATGCCATCTCTATAGAAAATGTCTAAAGCAAGGAACGATATCATTTTGAAACTGACAGTGTAAAAAAAAGAGAAGCATAACATAATCCTCTAAACTATAGACCTTTGAAACATAATCATTCGATGAAGAACAGACTATGAAAGGTTTGTTTAGCTTGCTTTAAGGTCTTTGTGAACCTCATTTTTCTTAAAACCCGAATCTCCTTTTAGCTTTTAGAAAGCACCTTTGCCATTCAAAAAAACGCTTATAAACAAATACATCTAAACGATTCGCTGCTGAAACAAGATTTAATCCCCTTTTTGAAATTACGTTTTCCTTAAAGTTCAAACACATATTTCATTCAGAGCAAAAAGGCAGAGAGAGAGAGAGAGAAATCAATTTAGTTTGATATTTCCAATGCTCTATTTCAGATTTTGTTCTTCTTCTAATGCTCTATTTTTAGGGAATTCACTACACGAAGTAGATAAATGAGTAGGTGACAAACGAATAACATATCTAAGAATTTTTTTCTAATGCTCTATTTCTAGGGAATTCACTACACGAAGCAGATACATGAGTAGGTGACAAACGAATAACATTTCAATTAACCTGGATCTTCCAGCGTTCAAATCCTTACTAATGCGCCTTCGAAAGTGTTGTTATCCATACGTGAAGCAACATTAAAGAACCTTCTTAAACATATAAACGAAAATAGCGGTAGTGTATTACACAAATAAACTTGCAAAAGCTGTACAGATGTTGAAAGTATTTTAGACATTTGGAATACATTAAAGGTATTATTTAGATGTACAGTATATCTGTGGATATCATCAAAGATTAAACCGATTATCAAATTTATCGCCGACAAAGAGAACGATAAGCATAGGCAACCGTTCATTACAATAATATTATAGCAAAATCTACATTCTTCTGTCTAATCAGTCTGACATAATATATGTATGGTTGGTTTAATTTGGACTTTTCAAGATTATGAATTTTGTGCACCCTTCCTTGTCAGTCTATTGAATTTAATTAACTGTCAACTTTTCTCCAAAGCTGTATGTCTATGGATGTGTTTGGACGATGCGTTACCATTTTGTAAACGAAATCTGACTTATGCAGCGACGTCGACTAACGCGAGGTTTAACTGTATTTTCCACCTTAGCGTTTATAAGTAAGTAGCTTTAAAATACACGCCTCTATTAAATCACATTATAGTTATAGTCCATGGGCCGGAAAAATGAGCTCAACATAGGTGAACAAGGCAACTCAAGAGAGCCAAGTCAACGGAATTGTGACTGCCATGTATAAACAAACAGGTACGTCTCCGTGCAGATGGCAACAGATCCAGGACATGGAACTGTTACAGAGAGCCACTGGAATTTGGGGATCTTTAAATTTCTTGTCAAGCTTTCAAAGAGTTTCCCTTCTGATGAGTACACGTCAATTGAGACGCACTTCTCTACACCCTTCCTAGAAAAGACGACGTAGATATTGTCATTCTGATCGACGGCACACCAGGCACTTGACCAGTCTTCCTGGTGTATTGCAGTTAGGATAGATCCGTATTGGTCCATAAGTTTGATGGCAGGTCCATACGGAGGACATGGATCAGCAACCAACAGATTACCTGTGGATAGGACGTAAAGCTGCCATGGAGTGGTATTACCAGTTGGGATTGTTCTAGAAGCCGTTTTAGCATCGCTCTTGAGATCAAACAGAAAGATCTTTTCTAACTCGCAATCGCCTACGAAAAGCATGTCGTCTTTGTCCGCTGTCACAGAGAACATGAAGCATGTCTCCTGCGGGCTAAGAACCTGTAAGGCATCACCGGTCTTGCTGTAGACATGAACCTGACGGTCAAAGCTCAGCAACACCAAACTACCGTCAGGACGGACGGTCATGTCACGAACAGTCACTCCACTGATCAAGCGTTTAATTCCAAGGTCAAGGCGAAAGATGTCAACACCACCGGATTCGTGACCAATGACGACACTTCCGTCCGGTAGTGAGGTCAAACTACGCTTCGCGTGACCAGAGGAATCTGGTAACTTGATCGATGCTATCAGTCGCAGAATCTTGGGCTGTACAATGTGGCCAATTGACAATTTTGTGTTCGCATTCTCGCGGTTGAATTGGATATCTTTCAAGAGATCTAGCACCGCTGTGACATGTTCCTCAAAGTAGGCGACAGGATCATCCATATCAACTGATGCATAGCGTCCGATGACGGAGAAGCATCCGGCATAGTTCTCGCGAGACTGGTCGTCCTTCCTGGAGGCATACCCCATCCCAACCTCTCTAAGCTTGTAGTCAAATTCTTCTATCATCCTCTGTACCTGGAGGAGAAGGGTTCTCCTGCACTGTTCTATCCGCTGCATGTCGTCATCAGCTGCTTCCAGAATCTCTTGTTTAAGTGACTCCATTCTATCCTTGATGATGGACCCATACTTTTCCAATTGGTCCACCCCGTCTCCAGGGTTTTCTCTTAGAAGTAAATGGGTGTCCAAATCACCACCCTTAGCCATCCTGGATCTCTGTCAAGGCACCTGCAAAAAAAAAGGGTAATCAATTTTAGCAACTTCTCGCTGTTGATTGTAATTTCTATCGAAAGACGAAACTATTACTGGAATGGCGTAAATAAACTGAAAGCTAAGAAACAGCAGAAAAAAGGAACTGTAAGAGTACCAACTTTATCGATTTTAGGCTTTTTATCCAATTTTGTCTACTTCTTTGAGACAGAAAACAGGAGTTTTGTGATCTAAAACGATCACTTTAGGCATTACAAATTTATACAACTGTAAAAATATCTGGCTCTTTTTCCAATTTTCCTAATAGCAATGCGTCGTTTCGATCGAGAGTATAGAGGTTACAAGCCCCAAGAGGGAGTACACCATTCTTCATTCACTCTGTGAATAAAACAAATTATGACTATCGGCGCAAAATCTAACACCCAAATGAGCTAATTTTCTCGAAAAGCGATCTTGCAGACAGGTTCTGGAGATGACACAAAATCCCAAGGAATAGAGCTTCAATTTCAAGCACTGCTACATTTTAGGACGGCTTATTTAGGACTAAGAGGGAAAATGTATCATTATGATTCTCATGTATCTAATGTTTCGTTTATTTTCTTTTTCATATTTTTTTCTCTATCTCTCTCTTTATCTTCCGTTTTCTTGCCGTTCTATTATGGAGAGCTTTTACCCCTGGGCCCGCTACAATGTGTCAACGATTGTAAAAATTCGCTCGAGGAAGGCGTTGCGGCGTGAAACTAATATCCATAACATTCCTTCGAAGAAAATTAAAGGCGTTCCAGAAAATAGGGAAAGTTCTCCGTGTTTTCCTCTGCAGATGATCCGCTTATTTTCAAAGCATAAGAAATCCACTAAACTATCAAGTTTCGTATCATGTATTTACATTTCAAAGAAAAATTCAAACCATGCAAAACTGTTATCAAATGAGGCAACATCATTATTATTTTGTTTATATTATTTAAAAAAACTTTAGTCATTAACCTACGAAAGAAAAAAGTATAGGCCTACATGTATAAATACAGTTACAATCTTTGTTTCCACTGTCTCGTAATTTTTAAAAGTAAAAGTAGGCCTAAAGTTGGCATTCCAAATAGAATATCTCCGATTACAAAAGAAAGGCACTTTTGGACATGCATGCAGGTGCGTAACTAGAATTTGTAGGTTAAAAGGGTAAGCTTCACAGAGCTAATTGGAAGAAAGGGGTCAACGCGTTGGGGCAGAATCGGTGTCTGGGGTGCTGAACACCTTCCTCCCTCTAGCCCAAGGATTCTGTTCCAAAAATAAAAATCACCATTAGTGTGTTTTTAAATAGATTTTGAGGTCAATGATATTATCATTTTGTCATCTCTCATGGCTATCGCACCGAATGTTATCTTCAGTAGATAGCAATAGGGTAAGTCCCACTGCTCGCGTTTAACAACCAAGCTTTGACAAATACGGTGCATGTAATTGTACAGTTGTATAGACAATACTAATAATAATGACATCTCAATGCCGTACATAATTTATAGTTTGTGACCAAATGTAAACGCTGCAATATAATATCACCTTTTGTGCCAAAGATACTTGGAATGTTACGTGAAGTTCTTATAGCTTAAAGATAAAGTTGAGTTCTGGTCATGCGATTGCATTGTGTAAGAAACGATGTGGAATCGATCAGAATAGGTTGATCATCTAGCATATAAGTATTGGTGTGTACTGCAAGGGTCTGGAATCATGAAAATGATAAGAAATTTGGCACATCCTTGGTAAAGTTACAAGCACTGTACACAGAAAGATTTAAAAAAAAAAACATAACAATCCGTCCAGATTGTTAAGCTGTTACATGCCATTTTTAGAATATTAAGGCGATTGAAGAGCCATGCTTTTCAGGGAACATTTTATTTCTGGTGTTCTTCCACACTTGCATAATAACAATGATAACGCTCATAAACTATTGTTCACCTCTTCCCAGAACTCAACCTTCTCTTTAAACCTATGTAACTTAGGTAAAGTCCCTCACTAGACTCTCATCAATTTCGATTGATTCTTTGACTTATATCATTCGATATAGCGCTCCCGAGGTCAGTCGACATCGCATGGTTCTTAATTGACCTCAAAACACTTCGCCTATTAACACTACACTATATAGGGAATCAAAAAGAAAACACCAAATGCAGTAGGAATGGAACGGTGCACGGGTGATGTGCTTCGGCATCAATTTCACCCATTTTACTCTATCGCCATACTTGCGATCTCTCTCATTCTCTGAACACTCAAGGCGCAAACGGCATTAACGGGTCAAACTACAGTGTAACTATGTTACATTTTAGACATTTGCATTTGCATTTGGCACTGAAGGAGAAAAGTTAAGTCCTTGACTGTGGTGTAAGGCACTGTCTCTCTGTGGTTGTAAGACACTGTCTCTAGAACACTGTATTTCCATTACATTTTATTTGAGGGAAATATATCAATCATCAGGTATCAATTTAATCTAAAACGCAAATTATTTCCTATACTCCTCCGCATACACCACACATATTCATCTCACTCATTTTTCCATGCTCAATGTCACACAAACGGTAAAGACGCCAGATGTTGTTTTTCCATTAGTTGATAAGATTGCAATCAGTGACAAAAACATGTTGTATGTCACATGCCATTTGGGAATAACAGTAACTTGTTCAAGTACAAGAGCAAAACATGGATACCAACCCTCTGAGTATTTAGTGGAGCAGATCTCTGGGGTAATAACGTCCTTTACCTAAGTATTTTGATCAATATTGAGGATTCTGTCAACATCAGAATACTCCCGATGGTTATTCCTGTAGAGCTTGTTTCAATTCACTTAGTGAATCTCCACGGGCGGGGTATACTTATTACCGAGACTTATTACGTGGATTTAATGGTTCATATCAATCCAAACTTCCTTGTTATTATAAATCGGAGGATTTAGTTACAAGTAGTAAAAATGAGTCTCGACCTTCAAGCTGCATCGATTCTCAATCGTTTCAAAAGGTAAACTGAAATCTTCATTAATAATTCCCGCCAACCACATGATCTTAATGTACATTTTTAGCAAATTTACCTCGCATCGTTCCCCCGCCCACGTCGCAGCTCTATCTTGGTTTGTCCTTAAAAGCCATATGCAGATAAAGTAAAAGAATCATATTCGTAGTGTTTATAAAGAACATCAAGGTGAACGTTTGGACTTTAAAGACAAATTCCTTTTCAAAATCACATGCTTTCAATCACATGCGAAAACAATGAAACAGAGAATACGTAACTAACGAACGATAATAGATAACTAGAAATTTAATTCGTCATGGGGACGAATTAGGTGGTCTGTTTTCAATTTTATGAACATTGAAAAGTCAAAAAAGAAAATAAAAGTGAAGAAAAAAAATTGTTGGAAACTCCCGGACTCGAACCAGGGACCTCGAGGTCGGAAGTCAAGTGCGTTACCGATATGCCAAAACATTTCCCATAGAGATTACACGTAAACGGAAAATAGAATTCACAAATCCCACTTTGTAAGTGAAATATGAGCATGATCCCGGCATCTGATCGAAAAATAAAGGGCACACTTGTTATAGCTTATTGTCTCAGCTACAACATACTCAAAGCTCAGCATAAACAAAGATAAAACGACTGAGATATTGCTCGCGAAAGACACGAATGTAGAATCTAGTTTTGAGAAAAAGTCATGTCCCATAGAGAATACACGCAAAATGTGAAAAATTGACATGCCTGCTTTAATCGCAAAAATACGCCATGATGCCCTTGTCAAAATGAAATATCGTGGTGACTGCATTTGTAGACAATATTCTCAGGTAGAACATATCAAAATTTGGAAAAAATTAATCAATATTTACAGAGATACAATCAATTTTACAAAAATATGCTGACGTCATAATATGCAAATTGAAATTTTGAGTTCGGAGGCCATTATGATGACGTCATGAGTTAATTGAGGGTCAAATGAGACATGAAATCATATCTCCAACTCATGCTTTTTCTAACCATGATATAAAAGTTGGGGTCAATGGACTATCTGAAGAGCTATTATGATTTTTAAAATGGCATGTTTTTGATCAAATTTGCATTATATTGCCCATAGCAGCACGCGCGGATTTTGAACTTTGACGCGCGCTCACGGCCTTATGAAAGATCAAGGGTGACTAAAAATAATGTAAATTGTCATTTACGGTAAGAGGAATCTAAATAATGTAAAAATTTTGAATTTGACCTTTTCCGCGCGCTATGAGCGCGCGCAACGCGCGCGGGGACACTTACGGACGGAAAATTTTGAAATGCTTAAAATGACCTGATTCGTACTCTCCTTTAATAGTTAAGTGATTTTGAGCATTTGTAAATTTTGACGCACGCGTACGTGCGCGTCGTGACCTTTATGTGACCTTTGATGACATGACCTTTTGACCCTTGACCTGAAATATATGTGATATGGATATGAATGACCTTTGCTTATGCATCATGAAGATATGATGGATAACGTGATTTCACAAAATGGCGCCTGGATGACGTCACGATGACGTGATGACCTTGAAAAGGTTCCTGTCACGTCTCATGACAATGACCTATGACTGTGCCAAAATTGAATGAAATTGACGAAATCGAACTTGAGTTATCCTAGGCACAAAAAAGTGTAGGAAATAAATAAAAATAAAGAATAATAATAATAATAAAGAAAATTCTGACGAAAACAATAGGTGATCTGTTTTCAACAGACCACCTAATTATAGCTAATCATTATTATGAGAAAAACGTCTTGAACCAACTTCAGAAGAGCTGTTAATCGCGATGATGATAATGATCCACTGCACTTGTATGGCGCTGTTAATATGTTTCAAATATTCGAAGGCGCCCGCTCTTCCGATAGTTATGGACATTTTTGCTTGAAAAGATGGGTTTTGAGGCCTGCTTTAAAGCTTGAGTCAAATTCAACCAACTGACGAAAAATGCTTTAAAAATCACGTTAATTGACTCTCATTTGCACATAGAGTCATATCGAGACG